CCGACTCACACGTGTCGGTGTCACGTAAACAGCCTCGCATCGCGCGGCTCAAACTCGCCGGTACGCTCGCGTCCGAACGTACCCCGCAAGTCCTTCGAGATGCCGTCCGTGTGACGATGGGCACCGCGGGCGCACGGGGGAAAAACTAGAAAAGCACTCGGTTACAGCGATATTATACTAATTTTAACGATAACCGAATATTCGTCACTCGACTGTAGCACGTGCTGTCACCACAGGTGCACGATCACGACGCTTCGCCGTCATCTTGTGGCGCGTTTGCGTAACCACGCGATGCGACGCTGGCAATATCGATATCGTAGCAAACGACGACGGGAAAAGAGAAAAGGTTACGCTCAGATGATAATTGACGGAAAGAGAGAGAGAAATCGTTATTTATTAAACGCTCTGGGACAATGTCCCCTCGAGCGTGATAAGAAACTGATACAGAAAAAGTATACAATATGTTTTTGAGGTATCGTAGAATACAAAGAGAAACAATTGCATACAATAATTATACAGCGTAATAGATGTCAGTCATTATTACAGAGCAGATAGTCATAGAGTTTTCGCTTGAAAGTGCCAAGAGTGGGTGCATGACATATGTCGGTTGGGATGCGATTCTAGAACTCAGCAGCAGTGCATACGAAGGAGCGTTTGTAGAATTCTGTACGACATTGAGGCAGGATAAGAGCATCAGCCGAAGCCCTTGTTTCGCGTGTTGCTTTATCACACCTACGCTTGAATGTTAGAGGAGCATAGGAGATTATGGGATGCAGGGATGAATATGTGAGGCAGCCGACAAAGTAGAAGCGCCTAGATTTGATTTTGAGCCATCGAAGCTTCACAAAGAAGGGAGTAATATGCTCGTCCCGTTTTATTAGAAAAACGAACCGAACACAAGCGTTCAGGGACCTCTGTAAGCAGAGGTTCTGCTCTCCAGTGATGTCTGTAAGTGCTGTGCAACAATAATCAAACATTGGCAGTATTAAGGTGGTGATTAGCCGTGACCTCAGAGAAAGTGGTAACAGATGTTTGCATATCTTTAGCTGGTGTAACGTCGCAAAAGCTTTGGCTGACGTTTTAGTGACTTGAGTGTCCCAAGAGAGTGTATTCGAAAGATGCACGCCAAGGTACTGCACCGAGTCGCAGAAAGGAATGACTGAGTCGTTAATAAGAATCCTAGGCAGTTCATCCCAGGTTAATCTGCTTATAAATCTGGAGGTGCCCATGACCATAGCCTTTGTCTTATTTGGATTCAGTGATAGTTTGTTTGCAGTAGCCCAATGAGTGATTCTGGTGATGTCCTCGTTGATTTTAAGAATGGCCTCAACCAGATGCTTAGGTTCCGTGTGTAGGTTAATTACCAGATCGTCCGCGTAGAAATGGTATTTACAGTATTTGAGGACAGTGCTGAAGTTTAACAAGTAAAGGACGAATAAGAGAGGTCCCAAAACAGAGCCCTGTGGCACCCCGGAGAAAGTTGGACGCTCTGACGAGGTTTCCCTCGTGACAGGATCGCGCACAGTCTGTTTTCTATTGTCAAAGTAGGAGCACAACCATCTTAAGGCTGAACAGGAGAAGCCAAGATCTCTTAATTTGTCAATTAAGATGTAGTGATTGACGTAATCGAAGGCTTCAGTGAAGTCGAAAAAGACGGCGATGGTCACCATCCTTTTGTCAGCGGCCTGCCTAACGTCGTCGAGGACGCGAATAAATGCAGTCTGAGTTGAATGTCCCCTCCTGTAGGCAGACTGATACGGATCCAAACTGTTGGTATTTTCCAGGTAGCTCGTGATTTGCTCTGCCGCGATACGTTCTAACGCTTTAGAGACTGCACACAAGATCGAGATTGGCCTGTAATCCCGCATTTCAGATGGGCTTTTGACCTTAGGGATGGGGCAGATGATCGCAGTTTTCCATATAACGGGGTAAACACCGTAGGTCAAACTAAAATTAAAAATGTGAGTCAAAACAGGAAGAATTCTTGGCAGAGCCCAGATGATGAGTTTACAAGATAAGCCATCAACTCCCACCGCATCCGATTTAATTCGTTGCAGAGCCTTAGTCACCTCCCACTGATCGATGTTACTCCAGTAAAATTTTAGTCTTCATAGGTTTCGTTGCCAAGGTAAACAGGGTGGTAAAAGTGCTATCCATCTATGCCTGCTGTGACACTGGAAAAGAATTCATTTAGTTCGTCTAAAGTGAAGATAAGATTCTTATCAGCGTTCTTCGCTTTAAGGAGTCCAAGATGTCTGAGTTGTCTCCAAATTGTAGTCGATTCGCTCCCATCCCGGAAGGCATTCAGGTAATATTCTTTCTTAGCGGAACGTACCATAGCCTGGGCTTGGTTTCTCAAAGTCTTGTACCTTTTGTAGTTGGCATCGGTCTTGTGCCTTCTCCTGACCCTTCTCGCCCGGTCTCTGCTTCGCATCGCACATCTGACATCAGGCGTAAGCCAAGAGGCCGGCAAGTGCTTAGGCTGGATATCACGTAGAGGCGCGTGCCTATCATAGCATTCGGTAAGAGCAGTATTTAGTAACATAACTTTGCTGTCAACGTCATCTACCTGATACAGCGCTCCCCAGTCGTATCCTTCTAAGTCAATCAGAAAATTATCAATATCGAAAGAACGAAAGTCTCGCACCTTAATACTGCAACTACCGCGTCGCGCAACTTTTACCCTGTAACTAATGCTGATAAGATCGTGAGCAGACAGGAAACATACATCGCTTTGTTCATATGAGATCAATTTATCGGCATCGTCAATGACGCATAAATCAAGAGACGTGGAAGACGAACGAGTGTGATGCGTCGGGGTGTATGGAACTAAGTACAGGTTTGTGGTTTCAATGAAAGACATGATCTGAGCCGAGTCGAAGGTGGTGGTGCACAGATCAGCGTTGAAGTCGCCAAAGATTATAAGGTGTTTATAAGTAACAGAGAGATCAATGAAAGTGTCCAGGAACTCTTGAAGGTATCCGCAATGGGGAGGTCGATAGACCACTGCTAAAAGAATCTTCGAAGTATTACTGACGGAGATTTTGGCGATAAGATATTCCGGTTTACCATCACCCTCCGAGTGCCGTAGTATATTGGCTTGAAGAGAGTTAGATATATAAAATGCGACTCCGCCCCCACACCTGCCCTGCCTGTCACATCTGAAGATTTGATACCCGCGGAGGGACACAAAACTGTCTGAGAAGGCAGGCCTCAGCCAAGTCTCAGACAGGCATATGACATGAAAGCCTGAGTCACCGAAATAGTCGCGGAACTCGTCGAGATGAGCAGTTAAAGATTGACAGTTAACGTGGCATATTCGTAAAAACTCAGGTAGTTCGTCAACCATAATTGATTGTTTTAGTTCTTGGTAAATCTGAAGAATAGTGGCCTCCTCACCGATTTCGTTCAACTTGGGCTTAATCGACACGTTTTTGCACGAAACGACCGAATCAGGCAGAAAAAAGTGTCGCTCTGCCCCGCGAAGCGAGATATTAACGATTAAAGTTGACAGGAATCAAGTTATGATTCCTGTCATACCGACGGGATGCAGCGACTACGACCATGCCCTGCGGCCACACGCGCATGCTCAGTGGTCGCACGCGCATGCTCAGTAGCCGCACGCGTATGTAAAACTGCGCCAATTTTAAATGAATCAATCGTGCAGAATAACCAAGCGTCTTGATTCAAGCAGTTAGGTATCACGCTGGGAGTTTGTTTAGTTTTATTATGCGGGGGAAGGGGCACCGCCGCAGATTATTTCTATGTAATCTTCGGTATTTCTATTTTCCATTATATATTATTTTAGCCGTCGCTTGTTATTCGTTAAAAAGTTATTAACAAAAAAAAATTTGGAAAATGTAGCAGCTATTTTAAGTATTGAAAGGCATAAATAACTAATATATATATGTCGAAATAATTCACGCATTATACACTTTCTGCGCGAAACGAGGTGCCACATGGGTTCATGACGCGCTTTACAAGCTCGTTTAAGTACATGCGTGGGCGGGGGGATTTTGCTCCCCTGCACCCCCCTCCTCATGCATGTACTTTATAATTTCGCTTTACAACTTAGCATGTACTTTAAGTTGTTAAGCGAGTTCCACGCTTTCAACCGCGGGGGGTGCGAGGGAGGGGGCCGAAGGCCGATAAAGCAGGTGTATGCCCTGCTTTATAGAAGTTGTGATTTTCGTTAAAGCAGGGCACACACACACACACACATGTGTGTATGTCCTGCTTTATAGAAGTTGTAATTTTCGTTAAAGCAGGGCACACACACGTGTGTATATGCCCTGCTTTATAAAAGTTGTGATTTTTGTTAAAGCAGATATTTTGTATTTAACTATTTAAAGCGTGTCACTGACCTACATAGATTTATAGTTGACGCGCTTTAAAAGTATTTATGTGTTTAAAGCGAATCAATTAACTTATGTAGGGGGGCGAAGCCCTTCCACCCACGCATGTACTTTGATATTGTTACGCTCGTCGAGTAAGCTCGCCGCCGTAACACTATCGCGCACTCCACACTCGCGCACGTATTTCACGGAACTCGCAAAAGGAAAGAGAACTCAAAAGAACTTAAGAAATGCGTTTACTCCAAGCTCGTAAAACAGAACGCGTACGGATTCCAAAAATCCGCCAGACAGAAAATCAATAAATCCATCAACAAACTCCCGTTGTCAAGGATCGCGCTTCACAGCTTTCCGCGACTTCTCTACTCAGTGTCCAGCACGGGCGTAACATTGTTCCCCTCTTCTTAAATTGTCGTCCCGACAACTAGAGGAAAGTTGCAAGCAGTTTCTTTCTCTTAGATTTCCGGGAACTTGAAACGCTTCCTGCTCTACCTCGAGCTAAGCTGCGAGTTAACGAGCTTCGTTTCTTCCCTCAATCCAAAAAACGCTTCTTTCCACGTGTGAACCTCTTCAACGTCGGCTTTTCTTCTGCTACCAGCGCTGTCCTTTTGAGAGTCTTCGGACTAGAGGGGGAAGCTTTCGTGGACCCTGCGTCTCGCAAGACTCCCCAGTCCCCGCCTTGGCATTTGCCCTAAGTCCCACGGAAAAATCACGATCAAAAACCGTGGGCAAGGCGGTCTTCTTTCAGTTAATATCTTCGCCTGATGTTGTTCGGCACCATCTTCCCGGAGAAGTAGCTGAAAGTAACAACAAAAGAAAAATATCTTTTTCTTAAAAACCTAAAAACTAATTAAATAAATTGAAATTTTTCGGGCTCCGCGCTCCGGTTGAAAATCGTGATTCGAAAGAAATTACCTCTCATAAAAAGTAGCTAATCTATCTAAATGAACGACTTTGTTCTTATGCCGTTTAGACCTACGAATGCAATAAACTACATCATTTATTCTTTTAACGACTTCAAAAAAACCTTCCCAATTACTTTGTAACTTAGGAGTTATTCCTATTTTTTTTCGAGGATTAAATAACCAGACTTTTTACCCAGGCTCATAGCATAATTGTCTATCTTTTCGATCATAAAGCGCCTTGGCTTTTTGAGACTTAATTTCCATACGTTGACATACAATGTTATGAATGAGATCCATTTTTTCTTTCAAGTGACGGAAATATTCTCTTTTTGAAGGAATAGTCTCAGAACCAAGAGGATGTCCGCGAAGTAGATCCAAAGGTAATCTTAACTCCCGACCTAAATGCAATTCAGAAGGAGTGAAACCAGTAGTTTCATGTTTAGAAGACCTATACGCCAACAACCCTAATGGAATCCAACGATCCCAATCTCGTTGATTTTCAGCAACGAACTTTGCCAGATAATTTAACAACGTCTGATGTTGACGTTCCACCTGACCATTGGATTGAGGATGAAATGGAGTAGTTCTTGTTTTTTTAATTCCCAATAACTGAGTTAGTTCCAAGAATAATCGAGATTCAAAATTTCTTCCTTGGTCAATATGTAATTCCGAAGGAATGCCGTATCTAGAAACCACTTGACTCAAGAAGACTTCCGCAATCGTTTTAGCCCTAATATTTCCAAGCGGAAAAGCTTCCACCCATTTCGTGAAACAGTTCGTAACCACCAACAGATATTTATTTCCCGAAGAAGAAGTTGGAAGGGGACCAAGAACATCCATTTGAATTCTTTCGAAAGGCGCACTGACATTGTAAATTTGCATAGAAGACTTTTCTTTATCAGATGGCCCTCTCTTTGAAACGCAAACTTTACAAGTCCTACACCAATGTTCGACATCCTGCTTACAGAAAGCCCAATAAAAATGTTTCCGGATCTTCTCTAAGGTCTTATTGACACCAAAATGGCCACCTGTGGAAGAATCATGAGCTTCTTCTAAAATTCGCGAAATCATTCCTCGAGGAACTATAGTTTGAAAAACAACGGAACATAAATTTGGAGACTCACATTTCCTACACAAAATCCCGTCTTTAATCACCAGGGAATCCCATTGGAGCCAATAGTCCTTAGCAGTCGAATCTCTCTGAGCTATTTCTTGACGAAGAGGTCGCCTATTCTCCTCTTTTCCACGATAAATTCCTACAATTGAAGGGTCCTCCAATTGCATTCTTTTCCAGTCCGCAGATTCAATTTCTTTGAAGATTATTCTTCTAACATCTCCCCTTACAATACTTTTTTCCCCCATCTCCACTTTATCACAATATCTGCAGTTTCCTTCCGCACATGGACGCCTAGACAACGCGTCAGCGTTTGCGTGCACCTTTCCTGCTCGGTGCTTGACTACGAAATTAAATTGTTGTAGGCGTTCCATCCAACGTGTTAACTGTCCTTCTAGATTCTTAAAAGACATCAACCAGCGTAACGAAATATGATCCGTTCTAACCGAGAATTCACGTCCATATAAATAGTGATGAAAGGTCTTCAAAGCCTCCACCAAAGCTAACAGCTCCCGACGAGTTACGCAATAGTTCCTTTCAGACTTGCTCAAAACCCGACTATAATAAGCTAAGACCCTCTCCCTACCATCCTGAATCTGAGAAAGTACCGCGCCCAAGCCGTGATTTGAAGCGTCAGTATCAAGAATAAATTCCTCTTTTTCTATTGGGAAAGCTAAAATAGGAGGAAAAATTAAGTTTTGTTTAAGCTTCTCAAAAGCTTCCTGACAACGCCCATCCCTCACAAATTTTCTAAGATTCTCAGTTAAAGAAAATAATGGCTTAGCAATAAGAGAAAATTCCTTCACAAATTTCCTATAATAAGAGCAGAGTCCCAAGAAGCTTCGCACTTGCTTCTTATTTTGAGGAATAAGCCACTTTTGAACGGTCTTAATTTTCTCCGAATCAGTGGAGATTCCTCTTTCTGAAATGACATGGCCTAAGTATTTCACTTCTCTCCCGAAGAAAGTACATTTTTTTGAATTGAGTTTTAAATTTGCACCCCGTAAACAAAGAAATACTTCCCTTAAATTTGCCAGCATTCCCTCGAAAGTTTTACTATAGATGATGACATCATCCAAATAAACCATACAGATCTTATTCAATATCTCACGAAGAACCTAACCTGCTCCATCAATCGCTCAAAAGTAGCAGGAGCATTACATAATCCAAATGGCATTACAGTAAACTGCCATAAGCCATTTCCTATAGAGAAGGCCGTTTTCTCCCTATCCTGAGGACGAAACTTCACCTGCCAATAGCCGCTTTTTAAATCTAAGGTGGTGAACCAGGAATTTCCGGATAAACGATCAAAAAGATCATCTATCCTGGGAATAGGATAAGAATCTTTTTCTGTAATGGCATTGAGCTTCCTGAAATCGATACAGAATCTAATCGTTCCATCTTTCTTTTTAACTAAAACAGCTGGAGAAACCCAGGCGCTATGAGATTCTTTGATGACACCACGTTGTTTTATTTCGTTTAAAATCTTTTCCACCTCTTCTCGCATATGCAGTGGAATTCGCATAGGAGCCTGTTTAATCGGAGAAGAATTTTTCACCCTAATAGCATGCTCAATGACGGAGCAATTTCCTGCAACCACATCTTCCGAAAAGACATCTTGAAACTCGATCACCAATTCAGCAAACTGCTCCTTTTGAGAAGCGTTGAGAGTTTCGGAATTTTTTTCAAAGAATTCTTTAAGAAAAGAAGGAATCTCCCTATCAAAACTACAAATTCGGGAACAGAAAAAGTTTTCTTGACTCTCTGACACCGTTTCCTCAAAAACCGAAGAGAAAACGCTTCCTACCCCTATTTTTGGAAGAAAGTCCGCTCCTAGAATACACTCGTTTTTTATGGCCGCTATGATTACCGGAAAATCCAAAGAAAATTTCCCTATTTCGATTCCAATCACCACTCTATGTTTTACAGGAACCGTTTCTCCCGTTGGATAGGTCAAGAAATATCTCTCTACAGGAGT